GCGAGGTCAATGGTCTAACGACTACGGCATGCACGACTATGAGTACACCCCCCTCCCACACCTTTTTGACTCGGTGCCGCTCCTTGGGCTCCTCGAAGCAGGCCGGGCAGTTCTCGTTCACCAGGGGAAGCCGGTTGGTCCTTGCGAAGTCCTTCGTCAGCGCCTCCCTCGCGTAGCACAGGGGCCGGATCACCCGAACGTCGCCGGCCTCGATCTTGTAGTTGGCCTTCATGGTGCGGACCTGATAGCATAGCGCGTTCCCGGGTGCGTACGTACGTACGTATGCATCCAGCACGCACACATGGCGGTGGTTGGTTTACTGCATACAGTGGTAATGCCAGGGCATTTCGGTTGGCCTTCACATGGCGCGGACCTGAAAAACCACACGCCGCGCACTCGTACGTACATACCTGTGCAGCACCCAGGCCGCCGGGGGGAAGCGGGGGTGGCGGTTATTTACTGCATAGAGAACCCGGGGATCACGGTTATTGCTGCCGTGTGCACAGCGTCATCGCCACGGAAGCCGTTTGCGTCGCGGCTGGAACCAGTTTGGATGAGCCACATTCAATCGTACTACTGTACACGGAACACTGCTACGCATGCAAGCAGAATTTTTCTTCCCAACCAACACACGCGCGGTGATCGGCGGCGTGTGCAGTGCTCTGCGAATGACGGCAGGGGTAGAGGTGAGGCTTTCACACGGCGGTGGTTCCCGTGTCTGAACCGCCGACTTATTTTCGTTTGACACTCCTCTACGAACAATCCCGAAAGGTAGAGTTACCTCCGTCGCCGTTCGCTTTGCCAACCCGGCATAATGCACCCCGTCTTCGCGCCGTCTGGCTTTGCACGGAATATTCCTTCCGGGGACAAACTCGGAGGCTCAACGAATGTCGTTCACCTCCGTTCGGTGATTGCTATCCGCGAGGCGGCGGTCACTACTTCGCAAGTGGCGACGGGAGCAGAAACGAATACCACCTTCGCCGCTCGTCTGCAAACTCACGTAGCATGACTTCGCTCCCTCTTGTCAATCTCCCACCCGGACGCATACGTACTATTTAACGAGAAGCCGAGATCAGGCGATTGGGCTACTCAGCGCTGACCAGTCTTTTGGTCTGGCCTCGGAGTGAAGTGCCGGGTCGTTGGGACCGCACGACAAAATACTGAAAAAGCCTAAACAAAACCACGCCACAGGTAAGCGCGGACTACCCGCATGGCTTGATTTCGGCTTCTACAGTGCTTCCACATCGTTGCTTCGCGCTGTCAAGCTCTATCTACCGAATGCTTTGGAAACGCAAAAAGTCCGGGGATCCAACGGGTGCGTACCTACATGCAGAGCCGGCGGCGATCGGTGACCGGTGCAGGTCGCGAGTCTTACCTCCCCACAGCCGTCGAAGAGAGCAACAAACCCACAGCGCAACCCGGATTGACTTCGTCTTTCCTCCCACAAGCAAGCAGACAAAGCGACCTACATGCCCGTCTCGACTAAACACCTTACTGCCTAGATGAAAAAGCAGTACGTGGCAAACTGGTCCCCGTCACCACACATGACATCACTCCCGGCTAGGACAGTACCTGGCCATTGTGCAGGGCGGACATGATGAAGCTCTCTGCGAGGTCGTCGAGGTGTTGGGCTAGGACGAGCTTGTTGTAGCCCTGCTCCCGGCAGCACGCGTACAGCAGGCCGCGCTTCATCCTGCGACATCGTGTCGTCGTCCGCCGCGAGTTGCGCGTACGGGCAACACGAGAAAACCCCACGGTGATTTGGTTTGGCACGAGTGTTAGTAGCAGCAGCAGCAGCAGCAGCGGCGGCGGTAAAAGCAACAGCTAGGATGGCGAAAAGTTTGGCAGTTCGTGCCTTGAACGAAACCCTCATCATCATCATCATCATCATCATGAGCACCAGCAAGGATGGTGGTCAATCTGCTTCAAAAGCTCGAGCAGGGCCGGAGGCCGCGATCCCCGAGGAGCAGGGTTGGAGGAGACGGGAGAAAGGGTAGTCGTTCAACACTTCCTCCGATACGGACATCTGAGAGACTCGGGTTTTCGTAGGTAGTCTAGAGCCTTTCAGGGTGAAGCAAGCTTCGTTTGAAGTAGGCAGGCAGCCGCCGGAGCTTGGCTTGAGGTTGGCCGTGGCGAAACCAGTACGCAACGACCCTTGATGGCTACATCGCCGGAACGGTAGAGGATGGCCGCTGGCCACCCCCGACGTCGGCCGCGCAAGTACAGCATGGCGTTGCGAAGGGAGGACATGGCTACCGCCAACAAGAAAAAAATCATACGAAGTCATCCGGTACGTCAGGACCCATAGATCATTTCGGCCGTTGTTTTGTGGAACACCGACGATTCGCAGACGCGAGAAATCGGCAGCCTACGTGGCGCCCACAAGGAACAAACACGCCAGTTCGACATGCATGCGATGATGTGACAGGTGAGCCTAAAAAACATCTCTGCGTGCGACACGCGGGCAAGCTACTACAATAAATAGCCGTCCGTTGATTGGTTGAGAGGGAACGAATCGGGAAAAATGTGTGCGGCGGCTACACGCTTAGTTCGTTGCCTCGCTCGGTAGAGCACACGCGACCGAAAAATGACACTGGTATTCTAGACAATTGCGTGCTTTTGAGTAAGGAGGGTGGCACTGTGAGCGACACAAGAGGGGGGGGGTACCGATCTGGAATCTCAAACAGTGTGTGCACTGATGTCTATCTCACCGGTGGTAGCTGCGCCGGGAAATCAATGCGGTCATCCAGTTTCACATCGCTTGGCATCCCCAATGATGGGGGCAAGCGGTATCCGGCAGTGGTGTGCTCGTCGATCGTCTCCAGTGCCGAGGCAGGCTGCACTCGAAACGATCGACGAGCACACGACTGCCGAATACCGCTTACCCCCATCATGAGGGGTGCCCAGTGCTGGATGACCGCAATGATTTCCCGGCGCAGCTACAACCAACGGTGAGATGTGGCTTTTTGATAGAAAATTGTTCTAAGAGTAGCGCTAGCCCCTAAAGAGAGAGGGACTCACGTACAAGCCCAAAAAAGACTCTTGGGGTCGAAGTAGCGCCCCCATCGTTGCCCTCTGTGGGATTTATCGTCCACGTCCGTTCACGGGACTATTCAACGCGCTCATCATCATCATCATCATCATCATCATCATCATAACCATCGTCATGATCATTATCGTCATGATCATGATGATGATGATGATGATCATCATCATCATCAGCAGCAGCAGCAGCAGCAAGGATGCCGGCCAATCTGTTAGCTCGTGTCTCGAACGAAGCCCTTGTACGGCGGGAGCACGAGAGAGAGAGAGACGCCGCAGGTCTCTCGCACGCGCATCAGTACATGGTGAGCGCACGAAGAAAAAGTGGTCACAACAATGGCCATCATGAAACATAAATACGTATCACACCTCGCGCAGAAGGCACACAGGCTGTCTCCCTGCATGGACGTCTTGGCCTGCTCGATGATGGGCGAGCTGATGTAGTGCAGCTTCACCCCGAGGCGTTCGAGGTAGGGGATGAGGGGGGATGGGTCGAAGGACGGGGTCTGTGGGTCCACCGTAGCGCACGCCACCTCAAACCTGTGAAAAAGGCGAAGAGCATGAAAAGAGTGGTGTTGTACAAGGAAGGATAACACGAGCAGCTCACGATGGCACGTACTTTTCCAACACAGGTTTCAGGCGTCAGGCATTTTATTTTGTCTTCGTGATAAAACGACAAGTGACGCGGTGGAAGCGAGGGTCACATCAATGCCTCTAGCATGATCAAGGTCCCGCTCCTGGATGGCACAACCTACACACATCAATCATCAACTTTCACGGTGTTCGAAAAGGTATTCCTTTGTCTCACCCGCGCGGTGGGCGAGACGGACATTCAACATGCCTGCGGCATCAAGCATGTTTTACTGTGCCCAGTCCTCAAGCGGCAACATATCGAGGGGGAAAGATGCTGCATACTTGCGCAGGTTCCATCGCCTGAGAGCTGTCTCAAGGAGCTTGCCATGCACGACAACAACGCTCACTGGTGAAATACGGTGAAGCATGGTAAACGGCAAAGATGATGCGGTGGGAGCAAGGCCTGTATCTCGGTGGGTCTCTCACGTGATGGGGGCCCGCTTCTGGAGGTGGAGCAGTACGTGCAGCAGGGTCATGGAGTCCTTCCCCCCCGAGAGACCGAGGCAGAGCCTGTCCCCGTCCTCGATCATTCTCCATGCCTGGTTTCGGTTGCCGCCATCATGGAGCCAGACCAACAGAACCCGCAAAAACGACAGCAGTCGAGGGGACAGGTTTAGGTGTGTCTCCGCGAAGAAGCGGTTCACAGGGTAACAGTACTATCCATCACCATTCGCCCCACGACAGACACCAAGAGGCATATGGCACCCCTTGTGCGGCGTTGGGCGAGCAAGGCTCTGTCTCTCTCTCTCTCTCTCTCTCTCTCTCTCTCTCTCTCT